GTAGTTCCAGAGAAGATTAAACAAAAGGAAGTGGAACCATCGAAACCAGTCTTCGTTACCAAATTGGAAGATGCAAAGGCACAAGTCGGATCCTCGCTTGGCTTGAAAGTTAAGTTGCAAGCGTATCCAGGCGCAGGCACAGACCTCAAATGGTTGCGTGATAATGAAGAAATCAATGAAGACGACGACGATCGCGTCACCGTCACGAAAGGCGATGATGGCACTGTTGAATTGAAGATTCGAAATGTCCAAGTCAGCGATGAAGGTGTATACAAAGTCGTAGCCAGAAATCCGTATGGCAAAGCAACCTCAGCCGCTGCCGTTACTGTAGTTCCAGAGAGGATTGAACAAAAGGAAATGAAACCATCGAAACCAGTCTTTGTTACCAAATTGGAAGATGCGAAGGCTCAGGTTGGGTCCTCGCTGGGATTGAAAGTTAAAATCCGCGCCTATCCTAATGCCGACGTCAAATGGATGCATAATGACAAAGAAATTATCGATGATGGTGACCGCATTAAAATATCTCAGGATACGGATGGTACATCGACATTGTCAATATCTGATGTTGTACTAGAAGATGCTGGTGACTATGAAGTGGAGGCATCGAACCCACTTGGAAAAATATCATCGAAAGCAAACGTGCAAGTATTTGATTCAGAATCAAAACCAAAATTTTTGAAAAAGTTGAGTCCTTGCACTGCAGCGGAGGACACGAGAGTTTTATTGGAGGTAAAAGTTGCTGGGCAGCCTAAGCCCAAGCTACAGTGGTTCCACGACGAAGAGGAGATTAATTCAGATGATGACAATATCACTTTTGTTAAGAACACAGATGGTACTGCAGCCTTGGCCATCGCAAATGTTAAGGCTGACTGCACAGGCACATACAAAGTCGTAGCTTCCAATAGGTACGGTCAATCAGAATGTGAAGCTGAATTGACCGTTCTCGTGAAACCTGAATTTGAACGAGCACTAGAAGATATTGAAATTGTCGAAGGGTTGGAGGTTAAATTCGAAGTAAAAGTGATTTCGTCACCAAGATGTGACCTTGAATGGTTCCATAATTCGCGCAAGATAACAGCCGATGGCTATTACACAAAGATCACTCACAATTCTAACGGAGTGGCTACTTTGATCATACCCAAAGTATCAAAAATCGACTACGGAGACTATCGTGTTGTAGCAAAGAATGAGCTAGCGGGTCAGGCTGAATCAAACGCAAAACTGACTGTTGTCTCAAAACGAGACGTTCGGCCAGCATTCAAGACCCATTTGGTGGACCAACGTGTGAAGGAAGGTGCTCCCATTTTGCTCACCGCTGAAGTGTCTGGAAAACCGCTACCGGAATTGCAATGGCAGCACAAGGGCAAACCAATCATCCCAGATGGAGAGAGAATTCAAATTATTTCCAACCCAGATGGTACGCACACTCTGAAAATAAATGATGCACAACTTTCAGATGCTGGTGAATACAGTGTTATCGCAAGCAATCCCTACGGATCGGTCACATCAAGTGCTGCCGTTTCGGTTGTAGAAGATAAACAAAAAGGGCAAGCGCCACAATTTTCAAAAGGATTGGAAGACATCCAAGCTGAATTTGGCTCACTTATTAAGCTAACGATGAAAGCAAGTGGAGTGCCCGAACCCAAAATAAAGTGGCTACACAATAATGAAGTCATAACACCACTAGCCGGATACATTCGTATGTCTGAGTATCCAGATGGAACACATACTCTGGTTATGAATGATGTGTCGGCTAAAACAGCTGGAGAGTACAAAGCCATTGCGTCAAATGGTGTCGGAACAGTTGAATCGAGTGGAACGGTATCTGTAGTTGCAAAACCAGACATTATCAAGGGTTTGAAAGACGCTGAAGTCGAAGAGAATTCACCAATCAGTTTTGAAATTAAATATGAGGCCTTCCCAGAACCTAGCCTCAAATGGACTCATGACGGTGAAACTATAGTCCCTGATGGAATCTCAATCATCGCTACTCAGTCGCCAGATGGAACTGCAACATTGACTATTAAAGAAGCCAAATTGAGTGATGCCGGTGACTATCGGCTCGAAATTCAGAATGAAGCCGGCAAGAAAAACACACAAGCCCATTTGTCAGTTACACCAAAAATAGAAGAGGAACGAGGTGAAGCTCCTGTATTCATAGTTCCGCTTGAAGATACGCAAGTGCATTTGGGATCAGCAGCTAAATTTGAAATAGAAATTGTAGCTAAGCCTAATGCCACATTGAAATGGACGCACAAAAATAAACCAGTTGTACCCCAGCGTGGAGTTTTGCGTATAACCGAAAATCCAGATGGAACAACTGTGTTGCAAATAAATGCCACAAAACCAGAAGATGCTGGAGAATATGCAGTCACTGCCACCAATAAGCATGGCTCTAGTTCATCAAAAGCGACACTATTTGTAGTTGCCAAGCCATTGATTACAAGCGATTTAAAGGATCTGGACGTGCAACAAAATGAAAAATTGATCTTGGAAGTTGCATTCGAAGGAACACCAGCTCCATCAATCAAATGGATTCATAATGGCAAAGAAGTTACACCAGATAACCAACATGCAACCCTAACCGTTGGCGACGGTGTTGCTTCGCTAATCATTGATGAGGCCGCAATAGACGATGGCGGAGAATATCGTGTAGTTTTGAGCAACGATTATGGTACCGTTGCCTCCAATGCATTCATTTCGGTCCTTTCCGATAAGACTGATAATATGCCTGTATTTGTAACTGGACTATACAACCGTAGCATTGAAAATGGTAAACCGATCGATTTCGAAATTAAAGTAACTGGCAATCCCCAACCCAGACTCAAGTGGCTTCATAACGGTGAAGTATTAGAAACTGTTCCAAATGAAATTATCATCAAAGAAGATCAAGATGGAAATTGTAAACTTTCAATTGCTAGTGTGTCGTCAAATGATGCCGGAGAATACCGAGCAATAGCTTGCAACGCGCATGGTACAGCATCCACAAATGCTATCCTCACTGTTCTGTCGAAGCCCACAATCTTAGAAGGTTTAAAAGATTGTGACATTGTTGAAGGTTCACCAATTCGAATGCAAGTTCGCATCAAAGCATATCCATCTCCTGATGTTAAGTGGTATCTCAATGGCAATGAAATCACTCCGGACGATCGATTCGTGAAAATATCACAGGGACCAGATGGTTTATATACACTTGAAATTCCAAAGGCGGCTATCAGTGATAGTGGTGAATACAGCGTTCAGGCGAAGAACGAGCTTGGACAAGCATCATCGAAGGCACTAGTTTCAGTTTCAACGAAGAGCAATATCATTCTACAGCATGGTGAAAAACCTAATTTCGAAGAGGGTCTTGAAGACGCTGAAGTTGACATTGGTTCTACAATGGAATTTGATATTGTGGTAACGGGTGTGCCACAGCCAAATCTGAAGTTTTTGCATAATGGCAAAGAGATTCTACCAGAAGAAGGTCACATCAAAATCACCGATAATCCCGACGGCTCAACTACATTAACCATAATCGAAGCTACTTTAGCAGATGCCGGAGATTACCGTGTTATAGCAAGCAATCCATCCGGGACGGCTGCGTCCGATGGATCGCTTTCGGTTTTGTCGAAACCAATTTTCGTATCTGAACTGAAAGATAAGTACCTCATCGAAGGTGAAACGGCCAAATTCGAGGCGAAAATAATCGGTTTTCCTAAAGCTCAAGTCGAATGGCTATGCAACGAAGAAGTGATCCGGCCAAATGAATACATTTCAATCGAGAAATTACCGGGCGATAGATACGTTCTAACGATCGATAACGTGTCTGCAGATGATGTCGGCAGATACAGTCTTGTAGCTATCAATAAATTTGGAAAAGCATCTTCTGATGGTAGACTTTTCGTATCACCAAAGATCACCGATGGTTCAGCACGCGCTGAAAAGCCTGAATTTGTAAAAAAGTTGACCGATTTGCTGGTCGACGAAGGGTTCCCCGCAAGATTCGATGTGAAAGTCACCGGCAATCCAGATGAATTGAAATGGTATCGGAATGGTGAACAAGTGCTCCCTCAAAGTGGTGTAGCACGTATTTCAACCAATCCCGATGGAACCGCTTATCTTATTTTACATGAGGCAAGCCCTAGCGATGTTGGAACTTATAAAGTGGTTGCTTCGAATCAAAACGGCAGTTCGGAATGTTGTTGTGAATTAGGCGTCTCAGCACGCCCAGAAGACGATCAAAATTACGACCAATTTTTGGCAGCACAAAATGATTCTGACACCCCAGGTATATTGCTAACGTCTGATTTAAATGTCTCCTGAGAGGCAAATATTTGGCTTGTGGCTTCACGACTTTGATTTAGGCGAGCATATATTTAGCAAATTATAATTTGCGGCGCTAAGTTTTCTTGAACATCCTTGTAAAAGGTTAAAAAAATAATGGGCAAGGCGTTAATACTTGATGAAATGAAATGCATTTTACGGAATACACGGACATTGTTCCACTTAAACACTTTTGTAATTAATTAAAATATATGTATATCAGAACAATTGTCAACTCACCCTACTAAATGTCATAAATCCGCTAAACTAAAAGGAATTCCATACAAATGCTATATTGATTACGCACATATGTTCTAAATACGCCTAGAAAATACTTTTTGTCAGACTAACTATTAATGTGTTTTTCTACATTTTTTTGCTTGCTTTTACGGAATGGCCTACTGCTCGTGTAGTTTTTCAAAGACTGTAAGTACGTTGTTGCGAATAGAATCAGCAAAAAAGTGAACAAATTGTAAATATGGGTTTTGCGTTGTAGTCAGCTAAATACGATTTGCGCGATTTATCAAAATTAAAATTACTATATGCAGACAAAAATTTAAAAGAAACTCTAAATCAACTTTCTTTTCAACTCACAACGAAAAATTTACACAGCTTTACCCGAAATACTCGCCAGTGACCTTAAAGATCAAAGTGTATACGAATCAACGCCCGTATCATTCGAAATAATTGCTCAAGGCATACCAAAATTAGATGCTCAATGGACACTTAATGACAAACCATTGAAATCAGATGATCACTACACTATCATCGAGGATGGACAAAAACTGAAATACAAACTGTCTATTGCTGATGTGAAACTCGCCGATGCGGGAACATTCAAAATAAAAGTTTCGAATAAACTTGGTGAATTATCCAAACAATGCACGCTAAGTGTAATGCGTAAGTAGAATCTGAACGTTAAATTCCCAAAAACAAACTTGGGTATTGAACAAACACTAACTTTTCAATTGAAGCTGTTGCTGAGTATCGCAAACCGATTTTGATTAAACCACTGAAAGATATTCAGTCACCTAAGAACGCACCACTTGAGCTGGCTGCTGTTATCACCGCTGACCCATTGCCCGAAATGACATGGCTAAAGTATGGCGAAAAATTGGAAGAAAGCTTGGATGTTCAGTTCAAACAAGAGGTGAAAGAGCTGCAACATGGTCTAAAGGAAATCAAATACTATTTGTACTTCCCGGCTGGCCGTCACTGTGACACTGGCAGCTACACACTTCAAGCCAAAAATAAGTATGGAGCGGTTGAGACTAGTGCACATTTGGACATTTTATTGAAACCAGAAATCGAAGGATTCAAAGATCAGATTTCGGTGCCATTCAAAACGGTCACATTTGAAGGTGTGTTTTTTTTCTTCTTTGAAATCAAGCCACAAAAATATCGAAAAACAAAAGAACATTTTTTTTATGTTTCATTTCATTTATATTCTGGAATTAGTGAACATCCATGCAAACCCAAAACCAAAAGTTATCTGGACCAAAGGCAATGCAAACTGCTGCAACATTGATAATTGCAACGTAATTGCTGATGTTGAAAAAGAAGTGTACACGTGAGTGGAACGACGAGACACATTTTAAATTTTTTCGAATAATCAAGTAAATTACTTCCATTGAATTTACAGATTGGTTGTAGAGAATATTGGGGTCGAAGATGATGGTGTATACACAATATCTGCTTCGAATAGCGTTGGTGACACTATTGCAACAGCCAAACTAATTTGTCACAGTAAGGCGTTTACATTTATTGAGAGCTTAAGAGCGCGTATAAAATATATAAATTTTCTTCCCTATTTTACACAGCCGAAAAGCCCCATTTCATCAAAATGCCCCAAGATGCAACTATTCATGACTATGTTGACTTTGATACGAAAGCCCGCGCCGAAGGTATACCAAAACCAACACTTCACTGGCTTAAAGATGGCAAACAGATCAAGGTGGATGACGCCAATTTCAGCATGGAATTTGGAAGTGCATCTGATCTGCAGGTCACTTCCGATTTTGCTATTGCACACTTTGGCAAAAACTATGAAGGAAACGTAAGTGTCACCATAAAATGACACAGTAAAAAATTTACATTAGCTTTCAACCAGAGTTCTCATTTTGTATACGCCAATATTTCGAACCATTAGTAGTTGCTATTTATAGGCAATAGCTGTTTATATTTTGGAATAGCAACTAATGAGTTCGCAGTACAAAATTCCAGATTTGCCAAGTCAAATTTGAGGCTGATCCGAGCGGAATTCGGCAAAAATAAATCGATTCACCGTCCCGAAAGGACGACCGCTTAAGTAGTTTTACTTCCAAAACATATTGGGCCAGGTCAGATTCACCTGCTCCACAAGATTCACTTCCAGCTCAACCAGTATTTTATAAACGCTACTTCTAAATATACAGCGAAAACCAAACTAGTAAAAACATCTGAAATATTTTTTGAGCTGGAAGTAAATCTTGTGGAGCAGGTGGATCTGACCTGGTCTAATATGTTCTGGAAGTAGAACTACTTCAACAGTCGTCCCTTCGGGATGGTGAATCGATTTATTTTTACCGAATTCCACTCGGATCAGCCTCAAATTTGACTTCCCAAATCTGGAATTTTGTAATGCAAACTCAGTAGCTGCTATTCGAAATTATAAACAGCTATTGCCTATAAATAGCAACTACTAATAGCTCGAAATATTGGTGTACACAATATGAGATCTCTGCTTTCAACGCTGATTGTTTTTTCTTTATTTATGATCATAGTATGCATGTGTTGCTACTAACATCGCCGGGGAAACGACCGCCAAGTTCCGCTTGTCTCTATTCCAAAAAGCACCCAACTTTGTTCGCAAATTAGATCGGGCAGCTGAAATTGATCAGGGAGAGCCATTGGAATTGAAATGCGTGGTAGAAGGAAGTCCGTTGCCTGTTGCTACGTGGTTTAAAGATGGCCAAGAAATCGAGCCAAATGATCGGTATAAGCAAATTATTATTATAAAAGTGCATTTTACCAGGCTTTGTAGGCTTTTGCGCTAAATCCATCAGACTGAATAAATTCATACGATAGATTTATGCGATAAATGTGATGCGCTCGCTTTGCGGTTAACGAAGTCTGTTGCTCTTCACTTGTTCCTGCATGAACGTTCATGCTTTGCAGTGAACGCATCGCTAAGCGGTAATGAAGAGCAACAGAACTCGTTCACCGCAAAGCGAGCGCATCACATTTATCGCATAAATCTATCGCATGAATTTATTCAGCCTGATGGATTTAGCGCATAACAAAGCCTGCATTTTACAAAACCGCATTATTCTTAACTTTTCAACAATGTTATCGCAGAATTAAATTGACAAACACTCCAGACGGTGTTGTTAAACTGGAAATCGATCAAGCTAAACCATCCGACTGTGGAGCATATAAATTGGTAATTTCCAATCCAAATGGCGAAAATGCTGCACTTTGCGCTGTAGCCGTTAAACGTATGTATCTATGAATAAAGAAAATGAGAAGGAGTAAAGCTAATATATATTTGAAATGTTCATTTTACTAGCGGAACCAATGGCGCCAGTATTCATAAAGCCGCTAAAGGATTTGAAAGTTGTGATCGGACAACCGATTTCATGTATGTACATTTTGAAATACGTGTTTTCTCTTTATTCATCCCAATATAACATTTTATGATTAAGAGCTATAGATCTTTGACATACAGCGTAAAACTAAATTTTCAATGAATTAAATATCTAGATATTCTATGAAAGAATCTTCTTTATTGCCTCCTGTATTTCTTTATCAATGATTTTTCTATTTTTATCCATTTCTTCGTTTGTTCGTTGTTCGTTGCCAAACACCAGTGGAAGCTCAAATTTCAGCTTTCCCTTCGCCTGAAGTGAAATGGTTCAAGGACGGCACACAGCTGAGGCCATCTCAAGCGTTCAATTTCGTTAATCAGCCGAACGGCATCATCGGCTTGAAGTGAGTTAACTAGTTCCAAAGAAATATAATCATAACATAACAACATGCTAATATCAAAATTTGTACAGCATCGATTCAGCGCGGCCAGAAGATGCTGGTGTGTATTCGGTTGAAGTGAGCAATAAATTGGGCGATGCAAGCGGACAGGCTAAAGTTGAAATTGAACCACGTGAAAAGCGTCCAGTTTTCATCTCGGACTTGCACGACACCGAGGTTGTGGAAGGTTTCCCAGTTAAATTTGAAATTAAAGTCATTGGCCATCCCCAGCCCAAGCTCAAGTGGCTTCACAACGGTGATGAAATTAAACCAGATGGCGATCGCGTCAAGATAATTCAAAATCCAAATGGTACAGCTGCCTTGATTATTGACAGAGCCACCGCTGAAGATGCTGGTGAATATCAGGTTATTGCCACAAGCGAAGTTGGGGCATGTTCATCGAAAGCCAACCTAACGGTTCATAGCAAAACAGACAATCGATATGCGGAGGAGGCTCCACGATTTGTTAGTGGTTTGCGCGATGCAAATGCAGATGAAGGTCAAGCATTAGAACTGTCCGCTCCCTTCATTGCAAATCCAGTGCCAGATATCATCTGGAGCAAAGACGGCAAACCAATCATTCCAAACGATCGAATTATGATGACTTGTGACGGTAAACGTGTCGGATTAATAATTAATCCGGCTAATGTTGCGGATTCAGGCGTATACACATGTTTATTGGCCAATCCAATTGGAGAGGATATGTCCAAATGCAATGCAAACGTTCGGAAAATTTACAAAAAACCATACTTCTCATTGCGATTGTTTGATCAACCGGCCGTACTCAATCTTGACGCCAAGCTACCAGTTCGTGTGCACGGTGTACCATTCCCCGAGCTCACTTGGACTTTCAACAATAAGCCAATTAAAAACAATAGCAAATATAACATCAAACACGATGGCGACAACAGTATTTTGCACATCCGAAGCTGTACATTGGAGGATATTGGCACTTACAGATGCGTGGCTAAGAATATTGAAGGCGAAGACAGCACACAGGCACACATGGACGTCGTCGATAAAATGTAAGCATTGAATACACTCAAATTTCTCGAGACAAAATTCCAATGATTTGATTTTACATTTGAATTTAGCGATAAAACTCCAAAGGGACAAGCGCCAACATTTTTGAAGAAAATTGGTGATATTGAAGTGTATGAAGGCATGAAAGCACGATTCACAGCATGCGCATCCGGATACCCCGAACCTGAAGTTGAATGGTTCTTGAACGGCGACCGTATTTATCCAAATGACCGAACTCAAGTTGAGGCCGAACCTAATGGTAAAATTTTGTTGAAAATAAAATGAAATGCACTCAATTTGAATTCATCTGAAAACTAAATAAAATGTGAATCACATCGCAGGTTTGCTACGCTTGACAATCCATAACTGCACACAGGCTGATGTTGGCAAATATACTTGCCGAATTTATAACACTCACGGTGAAGATACTTGTAATGCTGAATTAGTTTATGATAGTGAGTACCAAATGTTGCATCGCAATCCACAAAGAAATATACACTTTCGTATTAATTTTACAGCCTTTGAACCGAGAAATAAGACAGCACTCGGTGATCTTTATTCAGACTTCGATAAGTATAAGAAAACTGGAGCTCCAACCCCATTGGCCGATCGTCCGGTTATCACAAAAATGTCAGATCGACGCCTCACACTCAGCTGGAAACCATCAGTTTCAATTTCACCACGTATACCAGTAACGTATCAAGTGGAGATGTTGGAATTACCCGAAGGAGATTGGGTTACGGTGCGAACGGGTGTTCGCAGTTGCACATGCGAAGTACGCAATTTGGTGCCATTCAAAGACTATCGTTTCCGTATTCGCGTCGAAAATCAATACGGTGTAAGCGATCCAAGTCCATACGTTCAAACTTACCGCCACAAGTTGGAACCACCCGCACCACACGTCTACACATACTTGGACTCAAATACTGATTTTAGACCAGACCAATCGCCATACTTCCCGAAAGATTTTGATATTGAAAGACCACCACACGATGGCTATGCACAAGCTCCGGTGTAAGTTGAATATTAAATGAAGCAAAGGATTTCAACGAAAAATTCGAAAATGTAATTGTTTGCTTTTAGGTTCTTGCGCCGTGAACATGATATCACATACGGAACAAAGAATCATAATGTCGATTTGATGTGGTTCGTTTATGGTTATCCAAAACCGAAAATGACATACTATTTCAACGATCAAATCATCGAACCAGGCGGTCGATTCGACTTTAGCTACACTCGTAATGGTCAAGCTACTCTGTTTGTCAACAAGTAAGTATCATTGAATTCACGAGGAAGTATAATGACGATTGACGACACAATTGCACAATTTGATCACCTAGTTCGTTTGATAGATCAAAACAATCCGATACGATACGATATGCCACTAGTATATAGTATTATAATGTTTGATAGTCATAATTGGCACAATTCATATTGATGGTTAATCTAATTGATTGTTGGTTATGAGCCAATTTCATTGTCATTATTGACCCATACTTAAAATAAGCATCCTTTTCGGCTGAAACATTGGATTGAAATAAATCAGTTTAATCACAGACTTCACTTCGACGACTTACCTACCAAAAGCCATTGTTCAGTAAAAAGTAGGAAAATTTGAAAAATTGGATTTTGAGGAATCGTACCGCAATCATTTAAATCGTTCAAAATGAGCGCTGATCTATTGCGGAGAATCGAAACAAAACGTCACATAAGTTATATTAAAGACAGAAGAGATAGTATTTTACATCGCATGCGATTCCGCGATCGGTAAGCAAATGAATTTCAGATGAACCACAACAAATGACCAAATTGAAAATTTAGGCAAAGAACAAAAATTTCCTTGGACATAAAAAAAAATGCAATGATTTTAATAATTCACAAAATTCCGTTTGAATAGAATGTTGGAAAGAGATGTCGGTGATTATGAAGCGGTTGCAAGCAACGAACATGGCGTGGCCCGGCAACGCGTTCGCTTGGAAATTGCTGAATATCCTCGTTTCATTCAGCGCCCAGACGAAACATTCATTATGACCAGACGCAATGGACGGCTCGAAGCTAGGGTATGTGATTGAAACAAAATTATAAACAAAGAAAAAAGAATTAATTCGTGTACGAAATTCCTTTTAACCCAAAAATTTTTACAATATAAAATAATTCGCAATACAGGTAGTGGGCGTTCCGGAACCAGAAATCAAATGGTATAAGGATTGGCATCAGTGAGTAATTTTAAATTTTCTTTCTCTCTCTTAAGTAATAAGTACATTTTCTCTCTCTTGGGACAAATAATCTTAAGTTTAATGTAACAAATTCGTTTAAATGAAACTCTAAAATTATGGAGAAAATTGTCATTATTTGCCGTCGAAATAGCAACTAATGTACCAAAAACTCATCCAAGAAAAACAAAACCAAACCAAACCGAACAAAACAAAGACATTGCAATGCATTCAATTACTTGGAGCATGGTCCAAAATAGATGAATGCAAATGTTATGAGTATGACCAAATCAGTTTTTTTATGAAAGAAAAAATAAAATGTGATGACTAACTTTTTTCTCAGGAAAAAAATGAAGAAAAAACACTTATTGGCACAGCTTCGTCCATTTAAGTCGTCCAATACAAGCACAAGGACCAAGTGAAAAATACAAACTAATTGCGATGCAAAATGATGAACTACTACTATTGCAGATGTTTCATCAATACAATCTTTATCAAATAACACTTCCATAAACTTTCACTAGCGCCTCTTGTTCACTTGTTGTTGTTGTTCGTTGTTGTCATTGTTGTTGGCAGGAAACACGACGAGAGAGACAAATAAAACCTAAAAATTGTGAAGTTTTCTCAACTTACTTACACCTCATGTCTCTTATCCGACGACATTCAACTGAAAATCCAAAAACTAATTCAAACACCAATGAATTTCGATATATTCTTTCCATTTTTGGAAATTTCACGTTTTATTTACTGCGATTTTGCAATTGTAATAGCAATAATGAATTAATTAATGTGTATGGTATTCAAAATGAATGAATTCTGTTTGATTGGTAAAAAAAAGTGTTGAAATGAATCCGCTTGGCTTTCTTGTGTTCCACACATTTGCAGAGTATAAATTGTGTATCGAATCTTGGTGATAAATCTAAATAAAACGCGCTACCGTCTTCGTTCCAATTTCAGCGTTTTCTTCGTTTTTTCTTCTCTTCGTGCAGTTGCTTCTTAAGTTGCTACACATATTTTCAACGATTCCAAATAGGATGTTGAGCGATCACATTTCGTTGATTGTCAATGATGAGGTGAGCCAACGCACTCTACGATGACTTGGCGAGCATGATTGGGCGGTGGTCGGTTTTCGTGAGTAATGATCGCTTCTGACGATTGAATGGAGAGTCAAACGTGTCAAGCATCGCCTGTTCAAAATGGGTGGCGGGGTAGGCAAGTGTGACCACAAAACATCGCACAGATTCGCCATTTCGGTGGGCACTTTGTAGATGGCTGTAAAGCTCCGGATTATCTTTATACGTCTTGTTGTCAGTTTTGTTCAGAATAACGGTTCGCATATGGCCTTTTGGCCGGTACCATACGTCTATTAAACCAGTGATTGTACCGCCACTGTACTCTACAGTTTCTGCGGTGATTGATTCTTCTTCATTTTGCGTTACCGTTAAAATGTAAACTCGCTGAGCCATACCTTGATCGGCATAAAGTTCGGTAAGGATTTCATGAATTCGAAATCCACGTTCGTTGCTCATGGTTTTGTCGAAACCAACTTCGAACAACTGGAAAATGGAAGAAAAACAAAAAGATAAATATGTCATATATGATCATTCGAAAATAATAGTAAATATTTACATATTTTTCGCTCAAGTCATTATCCTCAAACGATAATTCATCGACTGGTTCATCTCCCTCATCATCGTTGTATTCAGCATCAGTACTTGCTGCGATGCTCAATTCATTGTCAGACGATTCATAATTCTCCTCATTCTCCTCATCATAGTTGTAGTCGGCATCAGTACTCGCTGCGGTGCTCAAATTCCCAGACGCTCCTTCATCCTCCTCATTTTCGTCATCACCATCCTTTTGGTTGCGCTCAACTTTCCGCACAAACCCGTTTGCAATTAAAGTTTTCACACTCCGTTTTTCTTTGCCGAAGACGTC